TTTCAAGCGCGAACACTTACTGCGCGAGATAGGTCCCCTCCTCTCTTACTCGGATCTGCACAATCGGCGGTGGATCTACTGGCTTGCGCTCTGCAGCGGGGAAACGGTTCCCAAGTCAACTTCTGCTCGTCCGTTGGGGGGGGTGCTTTTTTCAAGAGAGAAAAGAACGGAAGAGACTGGCAGAGCGGGCGATTCCACATACCTTTCTCCTTCCCACCCGCCACGCGCGCCCGGTTGGGCTGCTGGCGAACGATCAGGTCAAAGTCGGAGCTGGTAATCATAGTCAGTTGGAAGCCCTGGGTAGCTGAGTAAGAGTTGAAGTTATTTTAACGAGGTCCAGCAGACTGGGGAGGACAAACCTCTGAGAATCGCGGGCAAGGGAAGCGTCCGGAAACGTCGACGCACTCATCAAGGCGAGCTCTCAAGGATCGAACCTAAGCAAATACGGGAGCCAAAGGATCCAAGTCGGATATCCGCAAGGACGGACAGCTGTGAACCACGTCTGAACAACAGAAGGTGGCCAGGGGAAAAGTGAGATATGATGAAGAAACAAAGAATGAACCGATGGATTAACAGCAGGGAAGAAGAGTTCGGGTCTCTGGAACCTAGCAGCCAGCGACTTGTGGTTCGACGAAGCACTAGAAGAGAGAATGATACACGGTGGGGGTGAAAGAGGGGAGTTGGGGTTGGTTAAAGATGGGACACGACGGTATGATTGACTAGTTAGTCAGTCCGTAGCAGCTGGAGCTGGACCTTCGACCCAACTTCCGGAGTGGAGAATCCGTAGGAAAACACCGTCTGGGCTGCCACTTGCGTCGGGACGCTGGGAAAGATGGCCGAAATTGCAGTAGCACCTTCAAGTAGTTTTCAAGCTGCAATGAGGCGAATGCGGTACGAAAACGGCGCCGAGAAGGAAGAAAAAGATGGATGGTGTCGTCAGAATGCAAGCGGCAAGAGCCAGCCGAGCACGGTTCCAGACAAACCTTAACCAGCCAATTCGACCCAAGTGGATTGCTAAGTAAGTTGCTTTGCTTCCTTTTCCACTTCTTCTTCACTTTTGACTGGGCTGCCTTTTTCTTTTGACTCTTATAGGGGGAGGAGAGCTGCTTGAGTTTGCGGCTGCTGCTGTTGTTGCTTGCTGTTGCTGCGGCTCCGATTCGAGAAATAATGTAGTAGTAGAGAAGTAGTAGTAGAAGGGTGTTCGTCACTTTTCTTTATTTTCCTCTTTTGCTTTTTTTTTTCCCTTCCCTTCTCACTCTCTTTTTTTTTTCTCCGATTAAACTCTTTTGGTCTTCTCTTTTTCCACTTCCTTTTTTTCTCCCCTCTCTTTATGTGTTGTTGGGTCTTGTTCTTCTTTCGCTTGTTTTTGCTTGTTATTCAAGGGATTCCCTTTTTTCTTTTAAAAATTTTTCCTTTTTGTTCTTTCGAGGCCTTCTTCGGTAATAATTTTTTTTACCCTTGGAGGGATATTCTTCACGTGAGGATGAAACGTCGTGGGTGCCTGGCCAATCTAGTTCTTTTGGCTCCTTCACCTGAAGAAAATTCCGGGAATCCAAATGGTGCTGTGCTGCGACCGTGGTGTTTGTCTGGGTCATTCAATGGACGCCCGGGTCTAGACGTCACAGATCGCGCGGCCGAGTAGAGAAGGAAAAGAAAAAAAATATTAAGGGAAAAATCACAGACCAACTCGAGCGGAAAACAAAATAATTTTCGCGCCCCTCCTTCGAAACAAAATTTGCCCAAAAGTCAAACGAATAATAATAGTAGCAGCAGGCAAGCAAATAGTAGTTTGAAGCGAGCGAGCACTAGGTGTGGCGGGATTGAACACCGCCCAGCGATCAGACGGTAGCTGAACGATGGGTCAACAAAGTCGCCTCTGACAGGTCTCTGACGCACAAAAATCCACGAAAATATATGCGTGGTGCCCGAGGGTGTGTCAAAATTAGGAAGTCTAGGGTAAAAATTTACTGGAAATCAAGAGGACAGCCAGCTGAAGGGTGAACCAGACAAATGGCCTAGTGGAGCTGTACCGGAAATCGCAGAGCAACGCCGGCCACTGTTCGGCCGTCGAATGGTATCGTTCCCAGTCACTTCAACCACGGTTGGGCATGCGGGCTAGGGTGTTGTATCAGCCTTGACGATCCGACAGGAACCGCAGCGACATGGAGATGATGCGCACATTGGCAAGTCCCGAGAAGGAAAAATGCGAGGGAGGGGAAATGACAAAAAGTCGCATCCAAACTGCGGCCACCTGCGCAAGACTCAAAGTCTACCTCCCTCCTTTCTAGGCTGGATCGTCTGCGAACCAACAACAGACCACTGGTTCGAGTTAGGCACGAAATCCACCGCGTTTGCGGCAAGCCACTACCCCCTTCCCCGAGCAATTCCCCAACCCACACGCGCAACGGCGTGGTCTCGTGCGCGTGGAGATGGAGCCGGCTATGCAAGTGATCAGACCCGTATCAAGGCGCGACGCAGGGTCTCCAGCTCTTGATTTGGCGCCAGTGAAGTTGTTTGATGCTGGTCGGTGCGCGCGTCTAAAGTCTCCAGTCAGACTCGTACTGTATCGTCGTTCCTTCAGCACTGTACTGAGAAAGAAGCCAGTTATCTCTGCACTGGTTTAGGAAGAGCGACGCTCATCCGTAGATAGATAGGCCCTTTAGTCCGTCGCCCTTTTTCAGTTGTTGGCTCCTACTTATCCGCCTATCAAAGTTTCTCTGCGTTTCGGCCGAGGAGTCAGCATCACAAGCAGTAACATCATCCCTCCTCATCACCTCACTCCCCTTCACACCACTACTACCGCTACCATGCTCAATAACGACACGGCATCACAAGGACACGACGAACCATTGACTGACCTCTTATGTCATCCACTTAAGAACCGTGTTTCTAGACAAAGGGAAGATCCAAGGTCGAGAAGACGGCAGGAGGGGTTCAGGGCCCCAAGGCCCACTCAATATCCTTTGAGCCCTTTGTTGGATTTCGAGCTGACCCGTCAATCAAAATTAACTTTGTTCAAGCAATTATACTGAGGCTTTTGGAGGCAGCCTACCTATTCTGTGCCCGTTCTTTAGTCGCGTGTTCTTGCTTAGGTTTGTTCGGGGAGGGTGCACAAGCTTGTCTATTGAACCCCAAAGATGATGAAGAGAGGGGGTTGGAAGGAAGAGAGTTGGGGCGGTAGTTTCAAAGCGATGCGGTTTGGCCGAGAAGAACGGCGACGAGGAGTTGCTGCTTTTGCTGCTGCTGCCAACCCCGGTCTGTGTCACGAGGGCCCATCCCCTGTCTGTTCGTTCTTCCCCTCGACAGCAAAGGCTGCAGCCAATTCCCAAATTCCAAATCCTTTTGCTCGGGGATTTATTCCCTTCGACCTTCGGTTGTTTCACTCTGGACTGACTTTTGTACGACAACGGGATTGACCACCCCTTATCTTGATATCTCTCACCCCGCGATGTTCACAATATGGGGATGCCCTCAGCGACGACGATCCAAGTGAAAGGAAGCCTGACGATCGTGGACAACCACCACCACTCTGGCCGAAAAACGGATATAAAAAAAGAAAAGAAGGAATATGAAAGAGAGAGACAGAGAAATAAATATGAAATCGATCACAATGAGAATAGTCAGACCAAAAGTGGTGGGAGTGGGCCTCTTTTCAACGTGCAGGCGTGGGGAAAGAGGTCGGGCTCGAAAGTCAACCTTTTAGCTTCTGCTGCTGCTTCTGCTGCTGCTGCTGCATTCCTGGGACCTAGCCCGAGAGATGCATCACATTGCCTGGAATTTGACACGCAGGTCGCAGAGCTTGCGTCCCGCTGATACATTCATACTGTTGTGCTGGAAGGTTGATTCGATCTCGGGGAACGGGGGCGCTCACCCCTCAGCAGAGCCGGGCCGCCAGAGATCGGATCGCTGGGCTGATGCGGCGTTGAGAAAGTAAGCATGCATAATGAGTCGTTTCTGAAAAAGAGGGATCGTCGAGAGCAATTCTTCCCTCTCACTTGCCTAAGCGAGATTCAGCAATGAAGAGCTAACCTTACTTTAATAGTGTTGACCATCTGGTTGGACTACGCAGCCTCTCCATGCATAATCTGAGGGTCCCTGGTTCACGCTGTGTAAAAGCGCGGCTGAGAATTACGCTTCCTTGTTTCCTCCGTACAGCGCCTTTTCCCCCTTGGATTTTCCATCTGATTTTTGGCCCTTATTTTTCTCCTTCCCGACTTTCCATTTGCCCTTCCCCTTGTACCCTTTCTATTTTCGGGGTTTTCTGGGGGATTGCATTGCGTACGGATCCTGGATCTTATTAGGTGGTAGTGGCAGCTGCATCTAGCCGCATCAACTGCGAAGCTACTGGTTCCAGGAGCCCGCAATCGCGATTCTCGCCATTCGCCAAGTGTCAAGCACAACTGGATGATCGACTTTGGCAGAGAGATTGTATTTCTGCGTTCAGCGCAGCGACGCGCCCAACTATCTTCGCTAAGAGATTGACATCCCCTCAGACGGAAGTCCGGGGTTCATCAAGAAAATTATCACGTAAAAAGGATCAGCAGAAGGCATGCGTCCGATGATTGGCAATCCCTATGCAAGGGTGGCATAGACCAATGCCTAAGTTTGTAAGGATATGGATGGGCAGACGTCCAGGATAGCGGAGCTTTGGACATGGTACCTGCAAGTCAGGAACGAAATCCATCCCCGACGGGAAAAAAGAAACCAGCGGAGAAGGGTTGATAAGGAGTTTGGACGACTGATGCGATTTATTTTGTCCGCCGCACGACTCGATCAAGCCATCCGTTGGACGACGGAGGTAAGCAGAAATGGGAGGGGAAAGAAGAGAGGCGGGCAGAAAGAAGGAAAAAGAAAAAAACAAGAACGGAGTATAATGGGGCAGCAAGATGGGGAGTAAAACCAAGGAAGACCAGCTCTAGTCCATTCATCACTTTGTGGATGGGTACGGAGCACACACTTACACTCACACAAACACACACTGGGCCTGATCGACGCCATAGACAGAGAGACCTGTCAGCAAGTCTCCGGATGCGATGCTACCATGGGGTCTTTGAGTCAAGGAAATTTCCTACACCACAAGTGTACCGATAATGCCACGTTTTGATGGCATGGTGTACGAGGTTACCGAGTCATGACAACAAAACAATGAAGCTTTGGGATGGACATTGTCCTTGCTTGATGGACGCTGAATGGGCGAATAGACACAGACGCACACAGACACACAAATACACACACACACACACACACACACACACACACACACACACACACACCGAACAGGCAGTGGAAAGCCCACTGTGGGTTCTTAGTTTGAAGGAATAAAATCCCTACCGCCATGACCCATGAAGGGAGGTGAAAATTACCACAAAAAGACAGCAGCGAAAGGGATCAGGAGAGGAAAAAAATTACTGATAAAATCAGGGTGGGTAAAGAATCGCCAAACGATTAGAAAAGAAAGTTAAGAAAAAAAAAAAAAAAAGAAACGAAAAGAAAAGAAAAAGAAAGTCGAAAAAAAGAGAACCAGAATCACCAACACTAGGGAACTAATTTTTTTTTCGCACTTTTCCCCCCCTCCTTTTCTTGTCTCTCGACAATCGAACAGTTGACCCTCTCTCCCCTTTCGACCATTTACATATCTGGTGGGGACACCGACTAAATGCACGATGAAGTGTTCGGCGGACCCAAGCGGTTGCCTTTCTGTCCAGACTCCAGCTAGCACGGGGAGCGAAACCTTTCCTGGTTATTGTTGACAGCGGTCCGCCGAACATCCCCAGTCTGAACCAGACTTTCATTAACGCTTAGACTACGCTACAGTTATGCTTATTCGGGGTCTGGGGGCGGTTCCGAATTTCAAGAAGATCTGACCCAGGGTATGTTCCTTGGAAGCTAGAACTTCCTGGGTTCGCTCGTCGCCGGTTCTTCAGGAGTTCCAGGGGGCAGCCGAGGCCCGCCCAGTCCCTGTTTTTGATTAAAGAATTAAGTACTACTCCGCACTGGACCAAGAAGAATTCTTGATCATGGTTCGACCGGGGTTCAGACCACAAAATAGTCCTTCGTCCATTGCATCGTCCGCACCGGAAGGTGCACAAAACAAAATTTTATCCTTCGCTAATCGCGAGTAATAATTATCGACGCCTCAGCTGGTCCGACTAAGGAGAGCCCGAACAGGGATTCGGGCCTATCGAAGACCCCGAAAAGACCCCGGGAAGCCTTTATCGAAGCGATCAGAAAGCATCAGTAGGAAAGGCCGGGTGATTTGTAAAAAAGAAGGCTAGATGATAGCACGAAGTACGGCGACGGGAAGGAGGGGATGGTCCGGAGAGAAAATTCCTGACTAACTGACAGATCATCTTCAGAATCCGAGAGGTCAGACAGGCTAAGACGCCTCTCATCCGCTAATTGATTCGATGACGGGCTCGCCATCATTATCGATTGATTGACTTATCGTTGCTCCAGGATCAGATATGGTAATCATTCCCCTTCTTTCGGCCGGAGCAATAGAGTCGATATCCTTCTGCTTCCTCCTCGAAGGGATGAAAATAGCCACAGAGCAATCCATCACCATTCACCGCCAACCCAGCCCAAATCGAACGTCATCACGCATCGCAGACACAAACACTCCACACAATAGCTATTGTCAGGAATGGGGCATTCGAAATTCCAAATTCTCCATCAGACATGCAGTCAAGATCGCAGGATGCAAAACAGCACCTCCACCGCATTACACGGGGGAGGGGGCTTGTACCTAGCAGACACTATCACCACCATGGATGCAGCCCAGACGTACTGTACATGCCAGCCGCATCGCCACATCAGCACAGGACTAAGTACGATGTGCAGGAAGTCCGGAGCTGCTCGGCACATGAGCCACACCTCGGTTCATTCTGACTGGGGACCGATAAAAGTCCTATCCGTCGAGTTGCTTCGTGGTCCCACTCAGCAACGCGATGACCTGTAACCTCCTACCAACTGATCAGGAGAGAAACGAACGGGCTCGACTCTACTCCGTACAGTCACGGTATTCAGAATTTTCTCCAACTGCATCTCGTCCTAATAAAACCGACCATAGCGCCCCTCGCAGTGCTTCGAATACCGTATACTCTGGCCTGGTAAGTAAATCAAAAAACCACTATTCCCAAACGGGATTTCCTCCTCGGAAAAGGATTCCAAAATCCGATCTCAAAGCCACATTCCTTGCTGTTGAGTATATCGCCACCGCCCGAGAGGGGCGTTTATAGACAGTCAATCTCGCCAAGTTTCAAGCCTTCAGCCACCGGGAAGAGGAGATTTTTCTCTTATTCAGACAGAGACGAGTACTCCGTATACTGGGGCACTTTTACTGGATGATAGATACTCCGTAGTAGTAGGAAGATAGATCTAAGTACTACTAGGTAGCTACCTAGGCAAGGGCTATACATACCCCTCCTAAGCCAAAAAAGAAAGGAAAACACAAAGAAATGCATGCAGGGAAGGTACTCCCTCAGCAGGAAAAAAAATAACAAAATAGGATTAATCAATAATAATAATAATAATAATAATAATAATAATAATAATAATAATACACACCAAAAAGTCAAGAAATAAGTACTCCCTAACTATCTACCAAAGTAAATGCAAAGTAAACTTTCCACTGCACCGACTCTTCCTAGATAAACTGTAAGTACCTCTTGGATGAATTCCTGGAAATCAACTCTCACGCAACCTTTCAAGTACCCACTCTTTTTTCTCCTCCCTCATCCTCTTCTCTCAGCCAAATCCAACCTGCAAGTTGTCTGCAAGAACCACCTGGCCAAACTCTAAGTTGCCTTGCAACCTTTCTAAAATATTCTTTCATCGATTAATTATTTTATTCTGTATTAAATAGATATTTCCTTTTTCTTGCCTATTGGTTTTCTTTTTAAATCCTCTCGGTCTATCTCCGAGAAGAATATAACAAGTAAAATAAAAAACGGTATCTCATTTCTCATTGGAGGAATTAGTCTTGCTTGATTCGGTACTACCTCTACTATTACCACCTCAACTATCTGTTGTAGTGTGTACACCTCTGTCAGTACTTTTTCCCTATTTCTCTATCCAAGTTTGGAGTGCTACCAACCAACCGCTTGCAATATCCCACCTCGAATGTACTGTAGTATTTGTGCATTGCTTACGGCATACGGCAAGGTAGGATGGAATCTTATCCACCTAGTACCTACCGAAAGCGGAACAAACGGACCCCCATTTCGGGCAACATCCTGCTGTTTCAGCCACATTCCGGGGCAAACATAGCGCAGCGCCCCCATAGTTATTACTTACTATTTTACTAATTCCGATGGCGGTGTGTGTGGCGCTGCAAGCAAGTACGTAGTATCTATCTAGTAAGAATGTGGCTAATTAGTTAGAGATTGAGTTTTCTGAAGGAATCGGAGGGATCGGATCTCGCATTCTTTCTTTTCTTTCTTTTTTTTTTTTTTTTGGGTAGTAGGTTTCTTGCCTTGCTGGGTCTGTATATATTATATTTGTTTGGTTTCTATGTTTTTTTTTTTTCTTAACTATTGATTTTGTGTGGTAGTAGTAGTAGTAGTAATGGTAGGTTGGATGTTTATGTTGTGGTTGATTAAAGGCTATGTTATTCGATTTGGATGGATTTGTCATGTTTACTTGGAGCTAGCTTAGTCTTGGGAAATTGCAGGTAAATAGGTGGTAGGTAGGTAGCGACAATCATGATTGGTATGAGAACAGATCTCATCCTCGGTGGGAGAAAAGCTACGTTACAAAAGTAGGGCTGAATGAGAAGAAGAAACGCACAAAATGAAGCAATAGGCAAGGACGTCCAAGTTTAATGAAATCAAACTCTCACATGAATGGAGCGATAATGGGTGAATGGTAATGTAGAAAGGGGGGGGAATGGAAGGTCTCACAGGATCCGAAACAAACAGCCCTGGGAAACCGATGGTGTAGTAGGCAATGTACTGAAGTGTGCATCGAAGGAAGAGACGAACCCAAAAACTCCAGATGACCCCGTCACTCCTTGCTTAGTACAATGTGCAGAGAGAACAAATAGACGTGTAGAGGCAGAAAGAGACAAAGCCAAGTAGGTGAAGTCATGAAGTGTATCCCCGTAAGCAAAGTCAAAGCCAGACTTGAGAGTCAAGAAACAAAAACACCCCACGCCCAACAATAGTAACTCGCAAAGAACGCCCCGGGAAATGCCTCGTGAATAGTAAAATCTTTTGGAAATGCATTCGAAACCTCCAGACCCTAGACAATGTCGCAGAATCAGGTCTCCATCACAGCGTCTCCGTCCGCGTCGGTACCGTTGCGCTCGGCTTTGTCTGCAACGCCGTTCTCGTGCGCCGACAGAGCGGTGTCCTCGGCAGGCACCATAAGCTCAAGCTTCTCCACGTAGGACTTGCGGCTAACCGACTTGGTGAGCTTGGGCTTCCCCTCCACACCCTTGCCTTTGGAAGGGGTTACAGGCTCGACATTAGGCGTCTCGGCCGCTTCATTCTCCGGATCCGTAGTGCCATTGGACGTGGGTAGCTCGTCCTCACCGACAGCTGGGTTGGCGCTCAATTCGGGCTCGGTGGATACATGGGTCTGAGACGTCGTATATGGCCCATCTGCCGGTGTATTCTCCATATCATCATACGGCTCATTCTCAATGCCATCCGGCTCTGCGCTCGTAGAATCTACCGCAGGGGAGTCAATCAGTTTCGCGCTACGGCCGCGCCGAACACTAGCTGGATTTGCGGAAGGAGTCACGGACGTCAAAACGGATGCTCGTCTGGGAGTATTGCGGCCACTGGTTCGAACGGCAACTGGTGTCCCGCCCATCTTGGCGGTCTTGCTGCCGAACGGTCGGCCAGGACGCTTCTTGTGGGATGGTGCTTGCACTGGAGGATAGATCTCAAATCTCCAGGCAGGGACGTCTCCAGCAGGATTGGACTCGGCCGGTGTGCTCGAGGTCGCCGACGCCGTATTCGGATGACGGAAGCCGTTCACATTAGAGAGCATATCAGTAGAAGGAGGTCCAGCTGGCTCAGTCGGAAGCTGTTCGGAGTCGATGTCGCCAGTCCCATTCGTGGTCGGAGGACCAGAGCCATCCTCCTTAGACTCGCCAGCATCTGTTGGAGACTGTCGTTCTTCTTCGTTTCCAGACTCCTTCACATCCTCGCTTTCTTCATCCTCCAGGCCCTCCCGGGGTGCCACGGCGTGTAACGGGGCGCGATCAAATTGGGATTGGTTGCTCCGACCCATGATGTAAGGTGTCCAAACGAGCGCGTCGGGGTTAAGCTGGACATATCCTTTGCTTTCCCAGCTGGCGATGCACTCCTCGAAGTATCGGTAGTCAAGCCGCAAGGCGTAGGTTTTTGTCACCGGGTCTCTGACAAGCGCCCGCAAAGCTTCCAGACCGGACACGATGTCATCTGCGGTCATACCGGTCCGCTCAGATAGTTCGGTAATACTAAGCGGCGTCCTTTGACTCCGCAACTGGTAAGATAGAATGAGACGCCAGTAATTTCTATAAGAAACCAATCCCATATCGGATAAAGGCTTCTCCGGGGAGCCCGTCTTGCCTTCAATGCGCGTGAGCAAGTACGAGAAGTCGATGAGGAGGTTTCCGTAACCTTTCCGTTGGTGAATAGGGAGGGTGAGAATGCAAGAGACATTATTAGCCGAGCTAGGCCGCTTCTCTTTGCTGAAGTAGCCAACAAAATGGCAGCCCAAATCATCGAACTCCGTCATGACATAGAACAGAAACGGCTCAACATCATAGTAGAGTGTCTTCGAACCCAGGAACAACTTGGCGAGCAGGCACAGGTTCTGACAGTAAACAGGGTTCTTCCGTCCGTCAACTTCGAAGATTGATATAGACCCTTCACGGTAAATCTCATCCCCCGGAGGGTGTTTCGCTGGGCATTTGAGCTTGTGGCGCCACGCGACATAGTCGGAGTTCATGTATTTCAAGCAAAATTCGCAAATGTAGAGAATGCGATTGCGACTGTACTCCTCCGGGTATGGTGCAGCGTACCAAGTCTCAATCTCGTAGCCGCCGAAGTTGATGTATTTGATTCTAGATGGGGGACCGGACACCTTCTGCGACGCGTGCTGTACAGTTTCCCCTGTATTCTCAGCTTCTAGAGCTCGTCGTTGCCACTCTTCCTCCGCTTTTTGGCGGGCCTTTTCGAACCTTTCGCGGTCGAGGTGTGTTGGAAGTGTCTTGGAGGTATCCGCATCCGCTTCAGTCAGGATGCCCCCGTAGGGCTTGCCCTTTAGCTCGTCGGTCTCACGGTCGCTGAATGAATAGAATGGGGTGTAATATGAGGCGGGTGTGATCGGTGCAAAATGAGCCTGAGGCTCGTGAGCGACGGGTGGTGGCTTTGGGGTCCTTCGGCTTCTCATCTGTGACCTGCTGCGAGAATTGAGGATTTTAGACAGCTTAGACTCGTTGAGGCGAAAAGCCATCACAAGACGCTCAAACTGCTTCAACACCACGCGACAGTGCTCTTGCTCGTTCCTACGCGTGCGTCGCGAACGAGTCCGTACCGGGGACATGCCGTCAGCTGTCTCAGCCATCCGTTCGCGAGAGTCCGCACGATCGTAGCGCAACGGTGTCTGGCGTTGCCGTTTGCGAAGCACCGGCGCATGCTCCTCGATCTCAGCAGAGAGGGACATGGTCTTTCTCTTTCGCAGCGACCGAGAGCTATTCAATAGTTCTTCGTTGACAGTGACTGTGTTGAAAATTGAATGGAAATCGGAGCCGTCTTCACCCGTATGAGCCGGCAGGAGCTCCTTGCGCATGTTTTTCTGTCTATTTTTCCGTTGCGGCGCCGCGCCATCTTCCGCACTGGGCTTCAACTTCTCGCGCACGCACGTCGGGCACCTCCACGGGTTCGCATCTAGACGAGTCAGCACAAGGACACTCTCGGACACTCTAGGGGCAATTTATATCAAAAAGCAACGTACCTTCTGCATCGCCTAGTGCGTTTTGCTCGCGGGCACACTGCCGATGAGCTGTCGGGTTGCCGAGTCAGTAATGATCGCCCAATATCCGGGGAAATTATAGTTTGGATGGGGCCGCAACCCAACGTACAATGATCGCCGCAAACTGCGCATGTCAAATATTCCTCGAACTCCTCACTCGGGTCATTATCTTCATCTTGCCCACAGAATCTGTCCAACCAGTTAGCCAAGTACCCATGGGTATATTGTCGAACAAGGCATGGGCCAGGTCCCCACTTACATGCAGTTTCCCCGGACCGTGGTCTCCGCCTCCGCATCCTCATGGTCATTGCTTTCGCCCTCCCACTCTTCATCCGACTCCTGACTGCTCGATGAAGAACGGTGCGCCTCCTGGTCGCTGTCACTCTGGTTTTCGAACGCCGGATCTGCCTCCGCATCAGCAGCCTCCGACGCTGCATCCTCGTCGTCGGCAGACTGGCCATTCTGAGGCACCTTAACTGCGCCAACCGGCTCGGTATCGTTCTGATCTCCGACCAGACTCATCTCATTATCCGGCTCCCCCTCTGCGTCCTGATCCTCCCCAAGGTCGCCAGTCGCGGCATCGTCCGTAGCCTCTCCGGTGAAAGCGCGGTGCGCGGCATCCTGAAGCTGCTGATCCATCTGATACAAATCTGTTTCCTCCTCCCCTTCCGCATCCTGATCACTGTCCACCATATCCGCCGGGGTCTTCGACCCGGGGTCGTCGTTGGCTAGCGGTACGATAGCCGGCATAGTATATGTCACGGTGGTCGCCAGGGCTGTCACGATAGTCGCCAGATAATGATTCGGGGATTTGAGATACAAGGCAAGCCCAGGTGTTGAGGCTATTCAGGCTCCCCGCGAAAGTAGACGATCATCTGGTGCCGCGCGTGAAACGGGCATCGGGAAGCCTAGAACGAATTGCCAGGGGCGCCACAGCTCTGAAGACCACGCACTGTAAACGGAGATCCGCACAAGATAGAAAGCTCGATTCCCTACAGCAAGCGCATGCTTTCCAAGCAAGGTCAGTGAGGAGTAGGTAGCAACAGCGGGAAGCGGACAATGGCAAGCAACACGTGTAGCGACAGGGCGGAAAACGTACCGTGCCCACAAAAAGAGCAGACACTCCGGATCAAGCAGAAGTAGACGCGTGTAACAGCCAGGGAAACGCCGTCTCAAGTCCACTTGCGCAATCAACGCAATCGTCGGCGGCCTCTTTGCCCCTTCTCCTGCCCGTGAGGTTGACGGCCGTGCTGACTCAGCCGTCCCGCCTAAACCGCTTTGGGCCAACCTCCAGACCTCGTCGACGAACGGCGGATTCCCGCGGCCACACCAGCTTCACCTTTCCCCTCGCTGCTACTCCAATTGAGCCTTGTGCATTGCTCTTTTCCGGACTTCTCGACTCATATCGTCATCATGGGTGTTCCCTTCGAGGCTCTTCTTCCCTTTGGTATCATCATCGGAGTACGTCCAGCGACCGTTTCCTCCCCTCAATTGTTTTCAACTTGGCGGGTACTGACCAATGCGTGACACAGTCGTTCACTGTCGGCGGTGCCGGCTTGTGGGCGGTTCGGAAATGGGACAACGAGGGCAAGATGCCGCGGTGGAACAAGGACAAGTGGGATAGAGTAAGTGAACCTGCCACTTACCCGATGCGACTGGGATCAGACGTACTAACTCTTTTACAGCAAAGTATGTGATAACCTCGATTTGACGTCGTGCAACATCCAATTGGCGATCTCCTATTTCCAACCTTGAAGCAGAAGCAGCGAGCTAACCATCGACACCCCGCCTATCAGTGATGGAGAGAGACCTGAGAATCACGGGCACGAAACGAGGACAATCGAGCAACCCGGAAGCTCCCAAGGGATTCGAGCTCAGCAACCCCTGGAAGGTACGAATCAGCACCATCAGCAGCAGTGAGCGAAGCAAAATACTAAGTCGTGGCAGATCGAGAAACGGATTTTCTAGACAGCATGGGTTGTCACACGTCATGTCATTATTCCCGCCTGTTCCTTATTTATTCGGCCGCATTACTTTCGAGAGAAATATCCACGCAATGAAAGATTGTTTGTATCATACTATAAGAAATATCTGGCCGGCTGGGTACACTGCCAGGTAGAATTTGTCTAAGCCTTTGTTTCCACATCTATATCTATTTGATCTCAGATACAAAACCGCGGATAGCCTCGACTTCATAATCACGAAAGTGCATATCAAACCACTTTTCCAGGGCTTTGACGCGATCTGCGTCCCTTTCCAGCGTCTCCACAACCTCCGTCTTTCCAAACTGTCTCTTCTTTACCTCCCGCCCAACGAGAAAATACATCCCCTGCACTTCACTCTCCGCCTCATCCATGATGAACCTCGTACAAACCAGCGACTGCGTGAACCAGCTCGTGGGCCGCTGACTCGTCGCATAATTCATGATCTCGAAATCCTGCGGCAGGAACTCCGTCCCCAGGAACGAGTACATGGGAATCCACCTGCTGTCAGGCGTATACCTGATCTGGTAGATCCAGACCTTTTGCGTCTGGTCCGCATACTCAGGCAGGGGCTCATGAACGAGACGCATCTCCGTCGGAGCCATGCAGACCGAAACAACATCCTCTTTCAGCGGCAGGGGCCGGGTAGGCCCATTACCCCCGAATCCGACGTCAACCTGCACAGCCATTAGCTTGTAGTCACCAAGATACTCAGATACTAAGTAGGATAAGCATACCGCATACTTCTCCCCCTCAATCAGCACAATCAGCACCATATGCGACCTATACCATCATCATTAGTACATCTATACAATCCCTTCCAACCAATTCCACCCCCATAGAAAAACTCCTAGTATAGATAAGAAATAGGAAAAAACATACATCCCCGTATACAACTTCTCTAACCCCTCCTTCCCCTGCCCCGTAGCAGCCAAACACACCCTCCCACCCGTCGCATAAACCGCATACCCTAGAGATTTCAACACCCCATACAGCAGGGTATTATTCTCCATGCAGTAGCCATCCAGCCTACGCGTGACTAACTTTTCATAAACACACGCAGGTCGGATATCAATGGTCCGGTGGTTGGAGTAATGCAGGGCTGAATTTCCCCAGGGAATGGATGCTAAATGCCGCCGTTGGATCTCGTATAGAGTACCCAGCGGATCGGTCTTCACGGCTTGTTGTGCTTGTTGTAGTCTGCTGCTGCTGCTGCTGGTGGCGGATTCATTGGAGCCGTAGTGGATCCGCTCGAGGTAGAGGGTGAGTTGGTCGGGGGTGTAGGAGTAGGTATTTGATGCCATTTTGGATGTTGTAATGTACTATAGGATGCGAATGATGATATCTTTAGAAAGTGGGATAGTAGTAGATATGAACGTGGCCACGTAGTTAGATTAGCTGTCATGAAACTCTACGGAGATCCGCCGGGGTTTTGTGGATGAGGAGGGGGAAGTTTTCAGTAGGTACCCCAGGAACTACTAAGTAATACTAAGCAAGTTACTTATTGATAACTATCTCATTGGATGGGACTGACTCGATTGGGTCCGAGGGTTCAATCGGGCCCCCCCACATTTACTATCCATGTTCGGGAGTGGCGGTGACATTTGTCAGGGACGATCCGGGAGGTTAGTAGATAGATGGCAGATTATATACTGTCGTATTTATTAGGGAGTAGTTGTTGTCGGATGAAAGGGGAATACATAGTAGGGAATAGAGGAGCGGAGTTTGACAGACGGGATGCATGTAGATCCGATCGGTCGAATGGATAGAAAGTATTATCTATCTTGTGTGACTATTAGTTAAACAGTAGGATGTTGTGACTACTTAATACATCTGTTTCCGACACATGTTGTCAATGCAATTGATCCTCGGTTATGCAGGAAGGATTCTTTGCAGCTTATCTGATCGGATATCAATTAACTATTCTTATACCCCTCCATGTATCATCAATCTACTACCACATACTCTCCGCATAAGTAACAACTCAGTATCTATCTACCCTTTCAATTCAATTCAATTCAATCAATTCATCACAACCATCACCACCATGTCCACCCTCGAAGAAAAGATCTCCGTCTTATACAACTACTCCGCCTGTGATGTACATCCCCCCCTCCCCTCCATCTCCCACCTATCCATCAAAAACATCAATCCAACTAATAAATAATAACATCAGGTCTCCGACGCCCTCCTCAAACTCCAACCCGTCCCTCCCAACACCCCACCCCGAGCAGGCTACATCGCAGACCTAAGTACACCCCCTACCACCACCTACCTACCCATCACCACCTACCTACCCATCACCACCTACCTACCCATCACCACCTATACTAACATCAAAACAGCACCCTACTACCCACCCTCCAGCACCCAACCAACAACACCCCCCAAACTAATCGCCCCAGCCAGCACCCTCCAATTCATCCCCAAATCCGCCCCCACACCCAGCACATCCAAAGCCATCCCCCCCTCAACGCACTGGTCCGACCTGACCACACCCTCCACCATCCTCGTAATCTCCCAGCCGGCAGACCAGCACTGCGCCGTCGTCGGGGGCATCATGGCCCTGCGGATGAAAGTCCGGGGCGTGCTTGGCGTGGTAGTGGACGGGAGGGTGCGCGATCGCGCGGAGCTCAAGGCCTCCGGGCTGGGGATCTGGGCGAAGGGAGGGTCGACAGTGGGGAGTGGGGCGGAGGCGAAGGCGGGGGAGATGGGTGGGGAGGTGTGTGTTTCGGGGGTGACTGTACGAGAGGTAAGTCTTTTATCCCCCCTTGTTGGGGTTAGGGTTTGAGGGTGTTGTTTGGCTGATGGGTGCTCAGGGAGACATCATCTTCTGCGATTACGAGGAAGGAGGAGTGGTGGCTATACCTCGGGAGTTGCTGGATCGGGTCCTCGAGGTGATGCCGAAGTTGGTGGGGATGGATGATAAGGTGAAGGAGGCGGTGGAGGGGGGGATGAGTGTTTTTGAGGCGTTTGGGAGGTTTAGAGGGAAGATTTAGGTCAATCCCTCTACTCTACTGTATAGTTAGTAGTGGAGTGGTCGGTAGGTTCAATTTGTATACAGTTAGGTTGGTATAGTGGTGTGAAGACCAGCTTGAAGTATAACGAGAATTAGATACATCGCTAGAGACAAAACAAAATCATCAATCTAAGTAAGTTACACAGCCTTTTTTGCTTTACTCCGCAACCCAAACGGCCGCCATACCCATACCTGTGCCCACGCACATGCTGCTGACGCCGATCTTCTTGTTCGTCCGCTTCAGCTCCGTCAGCAGGGTGCTAATCTGGCGCGAACCCGTGCAGCCGAGAGGGTGGCCAAAGGCAATTGCACCACCCTTGGGGTTGATCTTCTCCTGTGGCAGACCCAGCTCGTTGATGCACCAGACGCACTGCGAGGCGAACGCCTCGTTGATCTCGTAGATGTCCACGTCGTCCTTGGTAATGCCGGCCTTCTCCAAGGCCACGGGGATGGCCTTCCAGGGGCCGATACCCATGAGCAGGGGCTTAACACCGACGACGCTAGCAGCGACGTACTTGCCGATGATCTTCTGTCCCAGGCGCTCGGCCGTGGAGCGCTTCATCAGCAGCACGGCGGCAGCACCGTCGGAGATCTGGGAGGCGTTTCCGGCGTGGATGGATCCGTCCTTGGCAAAGGCAGGCCGGATCTTGCCCAGCGACTCGGGGGTGATGCCGTCGCGGATGCCGTCGTCGGCCTTGACGGTGATGGTCTTCTCTTCACCGGATTTGGGGTCCGTCCACTTGACTTCCAGAGGGATGATCTCCTCGTTGAAGAGACCGGCTTTCTGGGCCTTGACGGCCTTCTGGTATGAGGCGGCGGCGAAAGAGTCCTGGGCTGCACGAGTGACGTTGCGGTCCTTGGCCATCTGCTCGGACAGAACACCCATGGGAACCTTGCAGTTGGCCGACTCGGGGTGAGCCTCAAGAAGCTCGGAGAACTCGGTCACGGCACCCGGGCTGATGCTCGTTAGCTTACATATCACAGAGGGTGAGGTGAGGGGGCAAAACTTACCCGTATTGAGACGACATGCTCTCGACACCAGCACCAATACCAACATCGATCATGCCCGATTTCACGGCATTGGCAATATCCACGATCGCCTGAAGACCGCTGGAGCACTGACGGTTCAGACTCTTAACAGCAGTAGATTCAGGGAAGCCCGCCACCAGGGCGGCAGCACGGAATTCCGTCGCACCACCACCTGGGGCAAGGACGGAGCCGACAGCGATGTCGTTGACCTGACTGGGGTCAATGCCGCTGCGGTCGATAACTCCCTTAAAGACACCGGCCAGCAGGTCAGCGGCAGCGGTGTCCTTGAAACCACCTTTTCCACCCTTTGTAAGAGCCGTACGCAGAGCGCAGGTCACGACGATATCATCGGGGTGCTTCTCCGTGATGGCGGAGACTCCCTTCTTGCCACCAGGGCCAAAGTGGGAGGCCACCTGAGACAGACGTTGCTGGGCTAGTAACGCATAACTGTTAGTTTAAGACCCTTTTGGAGACAGATAGAGGCTACTGTAGACTTACCGGAAGACATAATGACGTCAACGGGAGTCGAATATACAGAAATGGGATGCGCTAAGTGGTATCTCCAAGAAAAAAGGGAAAGAGTTTTGAGGAGACTGAAGATACGAAGAACTGAACCCCTGGTCTTATAAGAATCTGGGGCAACGTGGAGAAAGCCAGTCACTTGCAATCAAACCGGCTGAGCTGCTCAGCTCTGCTTCAATGAACCGAGGCTTATGCGCATCATTGTTGTTCCGCGGAGGCGGGTCACGGGATGTCGGTCCACGAGGCAGCGGTTTCATGTGAAAAGGCAATGCACTGGAATGGCTGCTGGGTAATGAGTTGCATGTGCTGCATTTTAGGGAGGTATGCGTAGTGGTACGTCATGCGATCAGCAGGACCAAAGATGAAGGCAGATATTACTATGGTCTGGTGGTGTCCTGCAGTGATTAGTGATCTGGATGCAGTTGTACTAGTGTCACATGCCTATGCGATTGCTTTGTTTCAAAATATATATCAAGTTTTACCCCATCCTTGCGTTCTTGACAATCACCTCTACCACACTATATGCAATGTAACAAACTAAATAACAGACAATATTCAACTAAACACCAATCTAGAAAATCTCCATACTACTTTCTTCTACAACGTAGTAAATAATAAGCCATGAAACAATAAAAGTCGCCCACACGAACCAATCACCACCGAGCGGAACCCAACCTACGCCATCAGGCTAGTCTCCTCCGCGGGCGGAATCCCACCCGCCCGGCGACAACTTTTCCTCCGCAATTCAAGATCATCCTTGACCTTCTATATCATCATCAGTCTCAATCCACCCCAGCCTCACACCGGCAATGACCTCCTCCCTCCTCTTCCCGCGGCGCCTTGCCGCGCTCACACTATCAAAGCCTCTATTCCCAACACCACAAGCAGCAGCAGCAGCAGCTACCCGCACAGCCCTCCCATCATACCTTCACCACAACCGCCAAATACAACAGGTACGCCTGCCTTTGCCTCCAATCAATCAACCAACTATCCATAACATAGCATAACATAAACTAACCACCAAACCAAATCCCCAAATATAGACCCGCCCCCTATCCCAAACCCCCCATACCCTCTCCTCCCCCTTCCGCCTCACCACCAACAACAATCCCAATACATATGATCCCGAAGATGCGATCCAAGAAGGCGAATACTACAGTCCCTACAAACCAAAACGTCAATGGCCACCGGACATGTCGAAGCTCTCCCCGAAGCATCAGTTCCGACTAGAACGGAAGTATCGTCGTCGGGCGGCGCTGAAATACGCTCGGCCGAAGTGGGTTAAGGCTACGAAGATTACGCAGTGGGTTGTTATTGGGTGTATGTATTTCTCTTCCACTTTCACTTTCAGGCATAATTATGGGTTTGTTCTGGCGGGGAGAGTTGAGTTCAACTGGGGGTGATCTGACTGTGAGATTTGGGCTGCGTAGGCTAACGTTTATGTTGGGATTTAGTTGTTCTGGTGTATGCGTTGTTGGTTATGGAGTGGGATGAGCGTGGGAGTCCGTTTGATGAGGTGAGTATTTATCTATCTATGTGTTGAATATGGTTGAGCGGGTAGTTGACTGTGTCTAGATTCGACGCACGTTCTTTGCGGGTGTCAAGGGTGCTTTCTCGACGCCGCCGCCGCCTCGTCCTGTGAAGAGGTCGGACGATGAGTCGGGTGCGCAATAATCAGGTCAAGCCAGGTGCTGGAGGTTTACAGCGGTATTTCATTAGACTAGACCACTCCGTTCAATCTACACTGTATAGTATCCTATCCTGTACAACTATCATATGATTGGAATACAATGACAGCGAAGCTTAAGCCGCTCATGTTGACAACAGTAGAACTAAGCATAATCCACATCGGTCATGTCGTGCCTGCTATAACGCATCTGTCCAAGAAAAAGAATGATCGGCCTGACATGCAATCAAAGAACGTCAATATCGTCAGGTCTGTGGCCCTATGCCGTCATGAGTCGTTTCGCCGTGGCCGTCAAGTGACGGTGAGATGCACCCAAAACACCGCAGAAATGCCAACGCCGTCCAATCCCGATTCTCCAAATCACAATTGTTGAATAACAAACAAATCAGGTAACAACAAGTCAAAAACAGTAAAAGCCGTCATAATGCCGTGTCAACGTCGCCAACCAAGTGGAGACGTGACCGGTCTGCGCAGCCACAGACTCACGTCTAGAGCCAATTCCCAAGGCCACTGTTGCCTTGGGCCCCGCCACGGCTAGCAGGGACATCCAGCGCAAGTTCCAGCTTGGGAGGCTGTTCGTCCAAGACACCCTTTCTGGGGCTTCCAGCTGCTGCCTTGATAGGGGACTTGCTCGGCGACCCAGGCTCCGGCCGGGGAGGGCCTTCGCGGACCGATGTGTATGGCCACCCGTCATCTACAGCTGCAGCAACCCATGTCTTCAGGCAATCGTGCACGGAGGAATAAAACTTCTCCTTGCATGTTCGCAAACTGCCGCCCATGACCTTCTCGAATCCCGAAGCCCGGAACTCATCTCGGAGCTGGTTACGTTCTTCACTCGTTGGCAACGACGCCACCAGGCCATTCATGAGGTCCAGGTGAGCAGCCAGGTAGTTAGTCGCATCCCATTCCACGCCACCAACATACGGAGCGGCGGGAACTGGAGGCCTAGGGGCAGGGAAATGACGCTCCCGGTAGCTCATACACGACTTGTCGTCTTTTAAGATCGGGATCACGTTGAGATGATGCAGGAAGATCCAGAAAACTTCCTTGGTCACATTGGTAACTTCCTTGCACCAGATTCGGTAGGGGCGTGATTGATATATGTTCGCGATAAAGCTCAGAGGCTGACTCTCCTCCGGGGGAGACGGGTCGCGCAGGTAGGATAGGATGCGTGAAGCCCGGCTGGCTGCCATCTCGTCGGACGATACAGCAGAGAGCTGAGTAAACAGGAGATTGATGATGATCCCACGGGTGGTGTACTCGCTTGGGCCCTTCTTCTCTTCGTCAAATAGCATTCGCAGCAATGCGGGGAACAGCTCGCCCTCGATGTTGGTGAGATGTTGCAGAGCGATGGACGTCGTGCAAAGAGCTTTCAAGCATAACAAGGTTTCGTGAAGCAAGGTATCTTCATGCTCTTCCCTATTCAAGTTATGAGCCCCCGGGTTTACTAATCAGCGAATACGTTAAACTCACCTCCATTCAACCTTCATGATCCGGTAGAGCAGTTGCACCACCTCATCCATCCCACCGTCCGCAATGAACGTATCAACCCAGCTGACAGTTTCATTCCGGAGGAGGATGCGAAGCTTGTGCATCTTCCCAACCTCAACCATTTCTGGCTTCTGAATTTCTCTCAGGTAATGCACAAAGTCCGACGGATCAGCTGCGGTATCACAAGCTGTGGCAGAAAGTGAGGTAGTGGAAGCTGACGGGGTACCGAGCCTGGAGAATCCTGTGGGCTGCGAATAGTCGGCCGACTTTGGACGCCTATAGAAACTTCCGCTATCCGGGCGCTTCTTGGGCGAAGAGCTGCCTTTGGAGAAGGAGAAGCCGCGACTGCGGGATCGCGAGCGAGATCCTTTGCTGTCTTGGGCATGGCGGTCCTCCTTTGGCTCCTTCTTGCGCCCGCGACGACCGGTACTATCTGTACCACTAGCACCAGCGCTATGCGGCGTAGCATTTTCAGCTCGATCCTTCATGATAAAATCTGCCTTTATGTTGGTGTCCAAAGACCTCATCTTGTCTCGCATATTATGAGGAATATTTCTAGCATCCTGTCTCGTCATTAGCCTAGGCTCTTGGTGTTAAACGAGAGTAGTTTGGCATATACTAACCAGTAGCTTTTCAAACTCGCTCTCAAGCTCCTTGCCGGTCAAGCGTTTCTGCAGTTCGGCCTCCTGCTCTTTTGCATTGAATGCTGAGATTGCCGCTTGGACGCGAGAGAGTCGTTTCGGGCTTGCCTCCGGTTTGGATTCCACTGGGGGATGGTATTCCGGGCGTGAGAGTGCTCTGGGCCTCCCATGTTTCTTGGGCGAGGCGGGTTCTGGCTGGTTACCCGAAGCCAGCTGGTTCGCCGTCATGCCATCTATAGGATCCATTAATTCTTTCACCTTGCGATTTCCTGCGAGGTAGTCCGATTTTGGGCGTGGCTTTGGCTCCCCGCGGGCTCTGAGAGAGGGTCCATCGTAGTCATAGAAATTTCGCTGGAGAGTGGGCCCATACTCCTTGGGCGTGTAGAGGGAAACCTCCTCCTGTAGAGTTCTACGCTTATGCTGGGAGCTGGTAACCTCAGGAGGTTTGTAGTACGGCGGTGTTGGGTAGTGGCCCCACATTGGAGAGGGCATGCTATCGACAGGGTCCGATGGGCTGCGGTTTTCTTTGTCCCGGGCGCTTTTCGAGTTTTCTCCTTTTCTTCCGCGTTGGGATCGTTTCAGGATGGCCGTGAGACTGTTGGCCGACTTTGCTTTCTTCGGCTTTAGATTCGCTGGTGCGTCATCTGGCGTCTCATCCGACTTGTCCTTGCGTTCCATATAGCTCTTGAGAGATTTCAGTGAGACGGCGCTTTTTGTTTTCTTGTGTAGAGTGTGTTTCCCTTGCTTTCCAGGTGATCTCTGGGTTGAACTAACGTCTGCTGAATCCCGGTTCGGGGCTATTTCTGCCAGTGGCTGTTCCGCAGGGTGGTAAGGTCCATCGACTGGGGGCGCATATGGGCTGCCACTAGGCTGGCCTGTCTCAACGACCCTCGGGGCGAGGACATCATCTGCAGATGAAGTCCGTTTGTGGGCCTTGGATGACCAGATTGCTCGCAGGACGGATGGTTTGGTAGGTCCACGGGAGGAATCGTCAAAGATGCTCGGGGGTTGTATGCTGGGAGCCATGTCTTATCGCCTTTGGCCCGAAACTGATTAGGAAGCCACAGACTGTGTTAGCAGATGAGAACAGCCATTACAGAACGAAGGTTATGGAACGGGTAGGCGCAGGCGACTCACGGTGAAAGGGTGCTCCCGCGTAAAGATAGATCGAACACCAGCGAAGGATACGAACGTAGCGGAAAATTCTATGCAAAGCAGGATAACAAGGACGTGCAAGAGTAAAATACCGACGACATTGATGAATGTCAATTAGGAGAAGGAAAATGAGGTCAGACAAAAAAAAAAGGTAACAAGGTAACTAAGGAAGAGAAGAGAAGACACCGGTGCGAAGGAACAGGAGACACAGCAGCAACAGCAAACACCAGAGAGTCAACCTCAGGTGGGTAGACCGGGAATTTGAAGCCCTTCAAAG